AGGACAATTTCAGAATTATTAAATTATTCAAAGGCATTCCTTTGATAGGTAGTCATAAATTGTTTTGAAAATAATTTTGGAAATTATTATTTTAGCTGAAAAAAGCTAAGCACTTATCAGTGGTGACAACACAAAACATATAACTTTGTTATGTGTATTTTGTTCTATCCTGCTTCTTTTTCACATTTATGGATAGAATTTTTTCATACAGTAGATAATGCAACTCAATTCTGTGTTACAACTGCATATTATATTTTTAAATTAAGCTTTATGATTATCACTACAAATCATTCATAATTCATTTCCTTAATCACATTATATTAGTTTCCCCAACTTTATTATTATAAAGGGTAACACTGAAAATCTTACCCGTCAAGGATTTTCGAGTCTATATCACTTTGTACTCTAAAAAGAACAATCAATAGTTTCATAGATAAAAGTTTTAAGTGCATAATTGATTTGGGTATACAATTAAACATACACAATTATTAAAAGCACTACTACCAAGTAAGAATCATTTATATACTGAAAGGAAGACTCTTATGAATAGAGATTACAAATGAATAGCAGAAATATCAAATGTGAATAGCACTCCTTCAGTGTACCAGCAAAGTCTCCAAAGAACAAACTATAATGAGATCTCAGCCAATACCTGAAAATTTCTATAATTTTCTCAATTCTGATTTCTAAAAAGTAGGTGAATGAGAAAGGTGGTGATAATACATTAAAAAATTGTTTTTACATCCAAGAAGAATGCAATTCATATTGTTCATATTTTGAAAAACAGTATAAAAAAAAGACTATGTTAATGAATAGCAATTTTTATTGTAATACATGTATTTTTATGTCATTATACTTATATCACTTTTACTCATTTTCAGTCTTGTGAAACCTTTTGAAATTTGTCCAAACTTTCAATGAAATACTAACTAAATAAGTCACATCTTGACCAGTGTTGATTTTTTTTAATAGGCCATTAAACTGAGGTCCTTGAGCTTATAAGGCAGGTGGTGAAACCACTGAGCTAAATCCCATGCCTCACTAGCATTGATTTTTATTCTCACCTAAAGTGTCAGTCACTATGACACCTAAGGAAAATCAATTATATTCTCTTTTAGTTGGTGATTATTTCTGGCACATGATTGCAATTACCTACCTCAATGCATCTTAAGCAACAATTATTATATTTTAATTTTTTGTTTAAATTGTTTCAAACATTAGGATTTCTTTTGTTTTTATTGAGTTTACTGGTACAATCTAGGTATACGATACAGTTACATTTATCATTGGGATCCTGTACCTTTACATAATAGGTCTTGATTCTCATTTTTCCCCTTGTCCCTGCCCTCCCTTCACCCCCTCCTCCCCTCCCCATTTACAAACACTTTATTTCCATTTTTTCAGTTTATCATATTTTTTTCCTCTCCCTTATTACCTTTCCCTCACACTTCCCACTTTCCCTACACCTTTAGCCCTTTACTTCCTATTTCACATTATTAATTATCTCATTAGGATCCTGTGTACTATTATAGTTTTCCACACCAGAGAAATTATTCGGTATTTCAGTTAAAGAAATCTCTGTATGAACATTAAAAATAGGGAATCCTAAAATAAAACTAAAAAGGAAAGTAAAAGAGAAAAGGCAATGATGTAAGATTAAAATAATCCTTAATTCTGAAGATGAAAATGGTCCCTTAACATATTTAAATTGCTTCTTGCTCTTGTATTCTTATCTTATTCTTTTTTTCATTATTGAGAATATTTTATTAGTTTCTGTAATCAACCCACATAGAAATGACCTTACATATTTAGTACAATGTGTTACCCCTGTACACATGGAAAGAAAAAAAATTTAAAAATTTAAAAAAATTAACATTTCTAGACCTTATGGCTGTCCATTTCTTTACCATGCCAACTCAACACAGTAAATTGAGATAACTTTTTCCAAAGTTGACAGCACTATTAAAGTTTCCCAAAATTATATATACATATATATATGTGTGTTTGTGTGTGTGTATATATTTATTTATATTTATATAAAAAGACTACTAATAGCAGTATGGTATGCATTGATAGCAGCAACAGCTTTTCCAGGTTCTGCAGTCATCTGAACAAAATTATAGACATTCAGCACATTCCATTAACAAAAAACAAAACAAAAAACCAAGCAAAAATAATAAAAAACATAGAAAAGAATAATATCCAGAAAACAGCAAAGTTCTGTTGCTGTTGTGGTACCTGGCACCATTTTTTTTATTAGCATCTTAATAATCATCTGCAAAGAGAATATTCTAGAGTAATATCATTAAATATAGCTCTGATAAAGCACAGTCACTACTATGTGTCATAAAGCAGGTACAAGATATTTTACATTCAGAGGTATGATACAGTACCGTCCTACATCGATACTACTAGAATCAGTTTTGGTTTGAAATTTGCTTTGTCTGAAAATAAGATTGCTACCCCTGTTTTTTTCTGGGCTCCTGTCACATGGAGAATTGTTTTCCATCCTTTCACTTTCAGTCTATGGGCTTCTTTTTGCACTAGGTGTGTTTCTTGTTTACCACATATTGTTGGATTTTGCTTCTTACTCCATTCTGCCAGTAAAACATTGACATTGCTGGTTATAACTGATATGTACTGACTTATTATTGACATGTTATTGGCCTTTTGTTGACTCTTTTTACTTTTTCACCTTCTCCTTTTAATTTCTTGCCTTGCCTATTTGATTTGCTCTGTTGGGCCTCATGGTGTTGTTGCCTTCATTGTCTTTTTCTAGGATCTTGTTTAGAATTGCTTGTAATGCTGGTTTGATATTCATGTAGTTTCTCGGGTGTTCTTTGTCGTGGAAGTGTCTTATTTCCCCATCCATTTTGAAAGAGAGTTTTGCAGGATACATCAGTCTCGGTTGGAAGTTGTTCTCTTTTAGTCCTTCAAATATCTCATTCCAGGCTCTCCTTGCCCCAAGGGTTTGTGTTGAAAAGTCTGCTGTGATTCTGATGGGCTTTCCTTTGCACATGATTTGTTTCTTTTCACTTACTGCTTGTAGTATTTTGTTCTTCTGTTGGGTTTCTGGAGTCTTGATTATTATATGTTTAGGTGTAGATTTTTTTATTGTAGCTAGTTGGGGTCCTATATGTCTCAGTTATCTGAATGTCAAAGTCTTCCCCTCTGTTTGGGAAGTTTTCTGTCACTAATTCTGCGAACAGCTTTTTTAAGTCATTTGTATTTTCTCCTGCTACCTTCATTTATTCCTATCAGTCTTATGTTATTCTTCTTTGCATCACCTAGGAGTTGTTGGATCAATTTTACTGTTTTTAAGAGACCTATCTTTTCATGGTCACTGACTGCAATCTTATCTTCTATATCTGAGAGTCTATCTTCGCATACTTTTATTCTGTTGTGTACACTTTCAATGGAGTGTTTAATCTCCTAGATATCTGTTTGAATCTGTTTTATGGATTCCATTTCTTTCCTATGTTGGGCATTTATTTTTTCCATTTCTTTCTTATGCTGGGCCTTCATGGCTTCTCTCATGGTCCTGAGCTCATCTATTTTTTTGTCAATTTCTGCTCTAAAGTCTTGAATCACGACTTCCATTTTGCTCACTATCTCTATGGTTTTCTGGGAAATTATTTCTGTTTTCAATTTTTCTAGAGCCTGATTAATCTGCTTTGTTACGTCCTGTGCTTTGAGTTCAGGATGTCCTGGTGGTTCGCTATCAGCCTTTTCATCCTCATTTGCCCTACTGTTTGCCTCTGGTGTACTGGAAGTCTGTATTTGTATCTTGCTTAAATGTTTTCTCACTTTTATTTTTCTTGCCAGGCTGTCCTTGGTTTAATCTCTGGATTATCCCCAAATCTTCCTGATATAGTTGCACCCTAGCTTCTGTGTCTCTAATGACCCACAGACATTCTCATCATCATAACATTAGAGAAAACAGCTCATCAAATCAACTGCAATGCTTTATCCCAACTGATACAATCAGCAACACATTAAGATCAAGCCCAACTTGGAAACTGACCACCTGTGGTAGTCACTAGTCTATCACCCTTAAATCATTTGAATTAAATTGAAATCAAGAAGCAGTCCAGAACATGTCTGCAGTGAACAAAATTGCAATATAGTATATTTACCATTTAATGGCTCAGACAGAGCGAAGACACAAGACCCCTGATCTCAGTTAGCTGATGGCTGAACCCCATGATGCAGATGGACCCGCCTTCTCCCACCCCAGCAGCCATCACTCCAGGGCCCTGGAGGTAGCCACGTGGAGCCCCTGAAATCCCATAACTCCTTTTGCGCACCCCCCCTGCACTCTCAGACCTCCTGACTGTGCCAGTCTTTGGACCCACTCTGCAGAGGCAGAGGTGGTCATCAAGGGTATTTTTCTGAGTTCCCAAATTTTAACATCTTTAAAGAAAGAGTGTGGGAAACCTGTAGTAGAATGTTGTGGAGTTCAACCATTCAGAAGGATGGGGAACTGAATCTGGGCCTTGCAAACATTAGGATCTTATTAAGATCTTATGTACTATTATTGTTTTTCACACAATGAATCTATTTGGTATTTACACCTGTGTTACTTTTTTATTTCACTTAGGAGTATAAGATCCTAATGAGATAATTAATAATGTGAAATAGGAAGAAAAGGCCTAAAGGTGTAGGGAAAGTGGGAAGAGTAGGGAAAAGGGAATAGGGGAAAAGAAGAAAATATGAAAAAATGGAAATTAAGAGTTTGTAAATGGGGAGGGGAGGAGGGGGTGAAGGAAAAAATGAGAACCAAGACCTGTCATGTAAAGGTACAAGATTTCAATAATGAATGTAACTGTACTGTATACCTAAAATGTACCAATAAATTCAATTAAAAATAAAAAAAATTTCAAACATATTAAATATCATACAAATAAATATAGGTAAGGCATATCCTTGTTTACACTTTCATGAAGTTTTATTTCTACACCATTTGGTGTTTACTCATTTACTAATACAGAAAGGCTTACCTGATAGGCGATTTCTTTTGATCTGGATCTATGGCAGATACTATGCCTATGAATGATCCATTCGGGTTTCCTTCAAAAACTTTAAATGCATAATATGGGAAAAGAAAAACCGGAGGTTCATCAAGATCTTCCACTTGGACCCTAATGAAAGTGCTGGAAGCTTCCATATGGTAATTCCTGAGATTCTCCTCTACATGGTGGTTTCTAACTTTGGCACGAATGTTATAATGACTCTGCTGTTCAAAATCCACTTCCTACAAAGAAAGCAGTATGCTTTAATGACCTTTTTAATGACCTTAGTAACTCAAAATTCTACAAAAAAGGGGAAAAGTTTTACTTGTCTTTTTTTTTTTTTTTTTTTTT